TCTCTATCAAATAAATAAATAAAATCTGTTAAAAAACCCGTTTTAAAAAAAGTGAAATACATAGATCCTTAGAAATGATCAAATTAGGGACTTTTTACAGGGGCTCACTATTGATTCTGAAAGTAACAAGAATTTAAAAGTATCCAGTTTGTAGCAAATACAAACATATGCATAATTGAGTCATAGAAAATAAAATACATCAGTATCGGGGCGCCTGGGTGGCTCAGTCATTAAGCATCTGCCTTGAGCTTGGGTCAGGATCCCAGGGTCCTGGGATCAAGCCCTGCATCAGGCTCCCTGCTGTGTGGGAAGCCTTCTCCCTCTCCCGCTCCCCCTGCTTGTGTTCCCTCTCTCGCTGTTTCTCCCTCTGTCAAATAAATAAATAAAATCTTAAAAAAAAAAAAAAAAGATACATCAGTATCTTTGACCTTTCCTTCCTGAACTAACTGTATAGGGGTTGTACATTGAATTGTGTGTCCTCCTCCTACCCCTCCCCCCCACCTCATTTGTTCTTGTAATTTTTCCCCACTTTGTTTACAAACTTAGGTGGAGGAACACAGTTAATTTTAAGTATGACCATACTTAGTTGTCATAATATTTAAATGCTGAAATTAAAATGTATATTTGTGACATGAAATAGGCCTTGGGAATGCTGGATGAGGGAATTCTCCCACTCCTTGGGATAGGAAGTAGAGAAAAGGATTTTGGCTTTCTAAAAGGTCAAGATATTTGAGAAGTCACTTTTTTTTTTTTTAAAGATCTTATTTATTAGAGAGAGAGCACGAGAGGGGGTCAGAGGGTCAGAGGGTCAGAGGGAGAAGCAGACTCTCTACTGAGCGTGGGGGAGGCTGATGCAGGGCTCAGTCCTCCGGACTGTACTTAGATGGTGCCTAGCATATGATAAATACCAATATTAGTCATTATCATTAGAGTAGCAGTAGTTAATAGTAGTCATTGCAATTTCTCTTAAAAATCAAGTCACCCAGAGCACCTTGGTGGATCAGTTGAACATCTGACTCTTGTTTTCAGCACAGGTCGTGATCTCAGGGTCATGAGATGGAGCCAGGCTCTGCCCTCAGTATGAAGTCTGCTGGAGAGTCTTTCCCCTTCCCTCTCCCTCCCCTCTGCTTCTCATCTCTGCCCCATCATCCCCCACCGACCACCACCACCCGGCGTTGGTACATGTCTCACATGCTCTCTCTCGTGCTTTTGGTCTCTCTCTGAACTATTATAAGTAAATAAATAAATAAAATCTTTATGGGAAAAAAAAAATCAAGTCACCCATCCTTTCCTGTCACCTTCCCCATAACCTCAAAACACAGGCACATGGTCAGTTGCTGCTTTCAGTTTTCATCTTAGCCTGGACGTTGATTGTTCTAAGACAGAGAGTCACGTAAGTTTTAATTGCCACATAGTATTTTTTTGTATGAATATTCCTCTGTCTACTTCAACACTTCAAATGAGCATCCTTGTATTTCTTTTTTTGTTTTGTCCAGCTATCATTAGATTATCCTTAGAAATGGAATTACTTATTGAAAGCATATGCACTTAAAAATTTTTTTTGAGATTTATTTATTTGAGAGAGAGTGAGAGACAGAGAGTGGTTGGGGGGAAAAGGTAGAGGGAGAGGGAGGGAGAGAATCTTAAGCCGACTCCACACTTAACGCAGAGCCAGACATGGGACTGAACTCACCACCCTGAGATCATGACCTGAGCTGAAACCAAGAGCTGGACACTTAACCAGCTGAACCACCCAGGCGCCCTGCACTTTAAAAATTTTTGATATAAATTTGATACAAATGGCCATTTAGAAATTCTGTTTGATTGTTTCCATGATTTTTTGAAAATCTAATTAATTTATTTTTTAAAGTAAGTGCTGGGCCTGACATGGGCTTGAACTCAACAACCCCAAGGTCAGGAGTTGCATACTCCTTCAGCTGAGCCAGCGAGGTGCTCCTGATCCCATGTTGTGCTCTTTTGGGGACCCTTGGTCTGCTGTTTCATTTCTTTTTTCTTTTTTTTTAAGGTTTTTATTTAAATTCCAGTTACTTGGGGGGATGCCTGGGTGGCTCAGTCAGTTGGAAGTCTGCCCTCGGCTAGGGTTGTGATCCCAGGGTCCTGGGATGGAGCCCCATGTCAGACTCCTTGCTTAGCTGGAAGCCTGCTTCTCCATCTGTCTGTCGCTCCCTCTGCCTCCCCCTGCTTGTGCACATGCGCGATCTCTCTCTGTGACAAGTAAATAAATAAAGTCTTTAAAAAATAAAAAATAAATAAATTGCACTTAGTTAACATACAGTGTAATATTATTTCAGGTGTACAATATAGTGAGTCAGCGCTTCTGTACACAAGTGCCCTCCTTCATCCCCATCAGCTAGTCCACCCATCCCCCTTGGTGACCACGAGTTTGTTCTTAAGTCCACATATGGCATTTGTCTTTCTCTGACTTATTTTGCTCAGCAGAATACACTCCAGCTCCATCCACGTCACTGCAAATGGTGCTGCTTCTTTTTTATACCCATGGTTTTAAAAACCAGGATTTCTAGTATTTCAAATCCAAATCCAAATTTTAGTCTGTAAGGTTAGTAACTACTCTGCTGAATCTGTTACATGTTTTATTTGCTTTTTCCAACTTTTTTCATCATATTTGTGAGTTCCAAAGTAAGGTCAAGAACTTGAAGCATTGTTTGGTATTTCATAAATCAAATCATTTTGGGGTAAAATTAGCATTTTTTAAAGATTTTATTTATTTATTTGACAGAGATCACAAGTAGGCAGAGAGGCAGGCAGAGAGAGAGAGAGGAGGAAGCAGGCTCCCTGCCGAGCAGAGAGCCCGATGTGGGCTTGATCCCAGGACCCCGGGACCACAACCTGAGCCAAAGGCAGAGGCTTCAACCCACTGAGCCACCCAGGGGCCCCCTAAAATTAGCATTTTAAGTAGACCATTATATCAGTTAAGTTTTCTGGTTGATCTAGGAGGCTTCCTCCTGGGAAGGCAAAAATTTTTTCTGTTTGTTTAAATTTTATTTATTTGTCAGAGAGAGAGAGAACAAGCAGGAGGACAGGCAGGCAGAGGGAGAAGCAGACTCCCTGCTAAGCAGGGAGCCCCATGTAGGGCTCGATCCCAGGACCCTGGGATCGTGTCCTGAGCCAAAGGCAGATGTTTAACTGACTGAGTCACCCAGGCGTCCCATGGGAAGGCAGAAGTTTTAAGTAGAACTTTAGCACCCTTAGCCATGATTCTAGTAGGGTATGAGGGTAGCAGGAGCAAGCTCATGGAGGACTCAGCCAACATTTCCTCAGTCAGTGCTGCTAACTGACAGAAGAATCATTCCTAGAAAAGCCTCATTTCTGTGGTCGGATCCTATTTGGATTGATGTCTGTTATGTTAGGAAAGTGTTCAGAATAGCTGATGCCACATACTCACTCCCATTTTCTGAAGATTGCTTCCTTCTCCGTAGATCACGGTACGTTACTCTTAAGTTGGAGCCCAAGGAAGACAGTCACTTGCTCCCTTTTTCAGCCTTGAGACTTTGTCATCAACACTATTAAACCACGTTCCCAAAATCCCTTGCTGAAGGGGAAGGCCCAGATCTCTACCTGAATGGGAGCACCTCAGCTGCTATTAGCTTAATATAGTGTTGGGATTCTTTCTGCTTAAGATTGATTGATTGATTGATTGATTGATTGATTTAGAGCACCTGGGTGACTCAGTCAGCTAAGCATCTGCCTTCAGCTCAGGTCATGATCCCAGGGTCCTTGGATCGAGCCCCGCATCGGGCTATGTGCTCAGCAGGGAGCCTGCTTCCTCCTATCTCTCTGCCTGCCTCCTCTGCCTACTTGTGATCTGTCAAATTAAAAAAAAAAAAGACAGAATAGGCTCTTAGAAACCTGCTTCTATGTGACATTTATTATCCCTCAGGTTCTCTAGCATAAACCAAATTTCTGTTGTTTCGAGATTTAGTCAACACAGCTCAGAAGTCTAGCCTGGAGGGCCTTAGTAGCCACTGCTGGTATCAGGCCTGCAGCTCCGCTGGAATGCCTTCATACTGAGCCTGAAATTCCGCCCCCATTTGTGTTGGCGAGGCCCACAGCTAGAGGCCTAGAGGTCACTGTGCTAACATGTGGCTCAGCACAAAGGAGAACTCCAGGGTGCCTCCTCTTTTACCCAGGTTCTCAGACAGCAGCTCTTACTACGTTGCATCCAGGTACTAGCCTGTATGCGTACTCCCTAGATTCCTTACGTTGTTTGCTGTGTAGGGTCTACTAAGATGATTAAAAGGATGGGTAAGAGAATCAACATTTATTGAGCACCTGCTGTCTGCCAAGCACTGTTTACATGTTTTGGGTTTGTTATTTATTTATTTATTTATTGTTTTTAAAGATTATTTATTTATTTATTTGAGAGAGAAAGAGAGAGAGCACATGCAGGAGGGAAGAGGGTGAAGCAGGCTCCCTGCTCAGTAGGGAGCCCCATGTGGGGCTCAACACCCAGGACCCTGACAAAGCTGACTGAGCCACCCAGGTGCCTCTCAGATGAATTATTTAATACTCAAAACAGTCTTATGAGATAGGTATTCTTCATCCCTAATTTCAGATAAGCAAAATAAGTAACTTTCCTCTAACTCAGGTTTCCTTGTTTTAATTATAAACAATTTATAAATTGGGAGTCAGTGGTATTATAATAGTGATGTATGGCAACAGATGGTAGCACACTTGTGGTGGACTTAGCATAATGTATAAACTTGTGGAATCACTATGTTGTACAGCCGAAACTAATATAACATTGTGTGTCAACTATACTTAAAAAAAAGAAAAGATGTATAAATTGGTGATGGTTTTCTGTCAGATCTGCAAACCAGTTCTGTTCTCTTCCTTCCCTTATGTTTTATAGTTATTGGTTCCACTTTTGTGATTCTTTCAGGGAAGGGTGACCTATAGACAACCTACCTTTGACTTGTGAGACCCTGAATCCTAACCACCATGTTATTTACTTTTCCTAGGATCCTATCCTTCCCCTAAAGCTGGAGCAACTCTGGTTGTGTACAAGGACCTGCTGGTACTATTTGGTGGCTGGACGCGGCCAAGCCCATATCCCCTGCACCAACCAGAGAGATTCTTTGATGAAATACACACTTACTCACCCTCTAAAAACTGGTAAGCCATAAAGATAAGATCCTTTCAGTCTGGAATAAAAGATTTCAAATGAATGGACAACTTCCATTTTTTGTGTCCAGGAATCTCTTTTGAGAATTTGGTAATAGCTCTGGACTCTGTTCCAGGAAGTAAATTCACATATGCACAGATGTGCTGACAGTTATGGAGAGTTTACAGGGCCCCCTAAAACCTAAAGCTAGGGGGGCCTGGCTGGTCCAGTCAGTGGGGCATGCGTCTCTTGATCAGGTTGTGAGTTCAAGTCGTATGTTGGGTGTAGAGCTTACATTAAAAACGTTTTTTTTTAAAAAGGTGAAAAAGAAGACAAAAAAAAAAAAAGAATTAAAAAAACTAAAGCTAAGATCCTCTCTTCCAAAGAGAAAAAGTAGAAGAGGTTTATTCCTCTTCCTAGAAAAATAAATGTGCCATTTGGAGAATGGTGGGGGTGGGGGGATGTCTTCAGTTTTGGTGGCTCATTTCTCAGGTGTGCTGTGGATCCAGATGATCCTTTGTTCCCTGCTGTGTCTACAACTGATTCCTGACTTTTTTTCCTTTTTCCTTGTAATGGACTACTTGGTACGGGGCTCTTGGCAGCTGCAGCTGATCAGAACTGTAGAAAGAAGTGGAAGGGGGTGCTCCGTTAGCACATTAGGCTGAAACAGCCAGGGAGCCATGATGGCGTCTCTGGTCATCTGTCCACTCCACCTCTAAACCATACACAGTGAGAACTTAAAAGTGAGCATAGCTTTAGCAGGTTTGTGGGAAAGCCCTAATACCTTCTGCCATCGTCCACTTACTATCCTAACAGTATCTCTACTGAAGGTGATAGGATTGTCATTTTAAGTGGATACCTACTTACTGTTTCCATCTTAAGTACTTAAGACCCAATACAGGTGGTGCTTACTTCTTGGCTTCCTCCTCTCTTTTTATATTAGGTGGAACTGCATTGTGACAACCCATGGGCCACCTCCCATGGCTGGCCATTCCTCCTGTGTGATAGATGATAAAATGATTGTCTTTGGTGGCTCCTTAGGATCCCGACAAATGTAAGTTTATTTGGCTTGCCTGTCAGCCTGAAGGTAAATACTCCTGGGAATAACAGGTCAGAAGCGTGAACTAGTCAGGTCAGTATTCTCAGCATGATTCTGATCCAACCGGTTGTTGCTCCCTAGCATTCTCATTTTTGATCTCCGAATCACAGAGCAGTAGGTTGAAAAACTTCCTCCATAAAATTAGAGCCGTGTAGAATCTTTTTATTTGGTATATGGTTCATTGAGTGGGATCAAATTCTGATGTAGCCTCCACCCTGTCTGTTTCTCCCCGTGCCTACAGAAGGCCACCGTCTAAGAAGCAAAAAGTCCTTTTACTTTCTCTCCTTTATTACCCAGCTGTGCCCTTTTGGGCTTTAGAGAAGAGAGGTAGATTGACAGGACAAGTTGAAAATGGTTCATTTTCCAAATGAGATGGGTTGATAGAGTGGGTAGGAGCAAGAAAACTCTCAGGTCCAGTGCACTTCTGTGAGACTGTGCTCCCTACCTTCTGTCCTTACCACCTCTGGCCACAGGTGGCCAGCTCAGGCCAGAGTCAAGAACCAGAGCATTCCATCTGAATCACTCTTTTTCTGAGTTGGTGGTAGCTGCATTAATGGCCAGGAGAGGGAAGTCAATGGGCTGTCAGAAGTAAAAACATTCCAGATCCAATTCTCTTCTCTGTTAGACAAGGTATTCCCCATCTTCCTGTTTCAAAACATTTATGGAGAGACTGTGAGCTGCCCCCCAGATGAGAAAGTTTAGGACTTAGAGTTCTTATTCCTGTTTTCCTCTTTATGAGTTAATGACCTTGGTGAGGTGACGGTAAAATAGAGATTGCCTCCCAGTAGTCTCTCCTGGCCATACCGGCCCCTTGGGGGTTGGAGATGCCGGTTTGTCCTTGATAAAACTGCAGATTCCATGAGCCATGGTAAAATTACTTTTGTAGCCAGAATCGGTAAATCTTTATCTCCTGGACAATGATAGAGTTACCTTTTGCATCAGTTTTCTCTCTTTCTTGTGGTTTTGCTTTTGAATGGCTATATCCTGGTCAGTAGCTATTTCCTGCTATCGCTGGTTCACTCTTACTTCAGGTACTAGTATGTGGCTGCGGACATGACTCAAAAGAGGCCTCCATGGGTCCGTGGGAAGAGCAAAGGTTTGAAGGTCTTGAGATGGGTTCCAGAGAAAGAAGGGGAAGAAAACTATAGTTTAAAATGCTATGGCCATGGCACTTTGCTGGGCATCTTTATAAATGTAACTTTCAGGGACACCTGGCTGGCTTAGTTGGTAGAGCATACAACTCTTGATCTCAGGGTCGTGAGTTCAGTCCCCATGTCCGGCATAGAGCTTACTTAAAAATAATAATTTAAAAAATAAATAAAATATAAATGTAACTTCATTTATATCAGCTCTGTGGTCCCTGAGAGCTCCCAACTCTTTCAACCTTATGTCCTTATCTTATAGGAGCAACGATGTCTGGGTCCTTGACCTTGAGCAGTGGGCGTGGTCCAAGCCGAACATCTCCGGCCCCAGTCCTCATCCTCGAGGTGGCCAATCTCAGGTGCTCAGGAATTAAAATAACTATTCAGCAAACACTGTAGCATCTTCCAGTTAGGATGGGAAAGGGAGGAGGGAGTCAGGTAAGCTGCCAACATGCATAAGCCAAAGAGACTTTGTCATTCTTTTTTTGCTGGTATTTATTTTTCAACTTCTAATGGGTTGTATTTATTTTTAGTGGCTTTATATTATCCTCTCCCCAAAGCATTTACTTTGCTGTTTCATTTCTCAAGAGAACCCTGCATTTTATGTACGCTCACATTAATGTTTGATCAACAAGGAATATATCCATTCAGGTTAATCATCAGTAATTTGTTCACAAGGATCAGAATTGACATGGTTTGGGGAGAATGGAGAACTTATGGTGACTGGAATACTCTGATTTGGGTTCTGGGTAGGCTGTTTTCATATACCACTGACACATAGGAGGTCAGATACCTGTGTCTTTGTTGGTTTATTTTAAATGTCTTCCTCTCCCCAGATTGTCATAGATGATGCAACTATCTTAATCCTTGGAGGGTGTGGCGGTCCCAATGCTGTGAGTATTGCTGGTGTGGCTTTCCAAAGCACGTGCTGCTAAAGGTTCAGAACTTGGTTCCCTATCTCACCTTGTGAGCATGTGTCCTTTTTATTGAAGGAATACCTTTTTCACTTTGGGTATATAACCATGGTATTTTCTGGCCAAACTCTGCTTTCTTTTTCCTTTCCCTTCCTTTCCTTCTCTTGTCTTGTCTTGTCTTCTCTTCTCTCTTCTTCCTTTCCTTTCCTTTCCTTTCCTCTTTCTTTCTTTGGTGGGATGAGAGGTGCTTTAAATCAAAGACATTTCGTCTCTTAAATATTCATACCTCTATCTATATTCTTCCTACTCCCACTTCCTCTTTAGGCTGTATGGTTTGCTGCTATCATTTTTTCAAGGAGGGGTGGGACAGAACAACAGTCTGATAACTGCCAGAATTTACATGGAATTTATTGAAGAATGCAGATTGAGAAAGTTGTGAATATATATTATCTACACTCTCCCCCACCAACACACACACACACACACACACACACACAGGCAAAATTGAGAACCACTTAAAATTGATTCATGGGTTACAAGCACAATTCCATGTTCCGGGCCAGCCGTAGTTTGTGAATAAAGGAGGGCATGATGAGGGCATGAGTGAATGAGTGGCCACAAATGTGGCTGTATTCTTCTTCTTCTTCTTTTTTTTTTTTTTAATTATTTGTTTGTTTTTAAAAGATTTTATTTACTTATTTGACAGAGAGAGGCATAGTGAGAGAAGGAACACAAGCAGGGGGAGTGGGAGAGGGAGAAGCAGGCTTCCCGCTGAGCAGGGAGCCCCATATGGGGCTCAATCCCAGGACCCCAGGATCATGACCTGAGCCGAAGGCAGATGCTTAACCAACTGAGCCACCCAAGTGCCCCACAAATGTTGCTCTTCTTCTGAAGAGCCCACATACCCTCTAGACCAGATGGCACAGCTTTGGGATTCCTGTGATGTGTATGTGTTGTGTATGTGTTGTGTAGTGTACCTCACCGGAGTCCTCTTGTTGGTCCTTCTCTTCTAGCTCTTCAAGGATGCTTGGTTATTGCACATGCACTCGGGCCCCTGGGCCTGGCAGCCACTCAAGGTAGAAAATGAAGACCATGGGGCCCCAGAACTGTGGTGCCACCCAGCTTGTCGGGTAAGCAGGGCACTGATAGGCCAGTGAGAGAAGGGCCATAATTGTAAAGCCTAATTGGCTTGTCAGATTTCCAAGCAAATTTGTGTGGAAATAAAAAACACCTTGGTGTCATAAAAGAAGTGGACATTAACCATTGTTCTTTGGGCATTGCTCATATGTGAACTTCTAGATGGGAAACCTGTATGGGCCCCACTGATACTTTTTTTTCCTTTTTCTAAGTATATTTATTTGAGAGAACATGTGTGAGCATGAGCTGGGTGTTGGGGGTCAGGGTAGGGAGGGCAGAGGGAGAGGGAGAAGCAGGCTTCCCACTGAGTAGAGAGCCTGCTTCAGGGCTCAATTCCAGGACCATGGGATCATGACCTGAGCCGAAGGCAGACGCTTAACTGACTTAGCCACCTGGGTGCCCAAGTTTATTTATTTATTTATGTACTCTATTCTGAACGTGGGACTTGAACTCCTGACACCAAGTTCAAGAGTTGAACACTCCATTGACTGAGTCAGCAAGGTGCCCCCACCACTGATCCTTTAAGTGCCAGCTTTAAGCATCTCTTTGTCTGTGAACCTTTCCTCAGGGTCCCCAAGTAAAAACTGATTCCTCCTTCACCCTATCCCTGTCCTGTACACACACCTCTCATGATGGCACTTGTCATGCTTCAGCCATGGATTGTTCCCATGTCTGTCTCCCCTTCTGGCCTGCCCACGTGCTCATAATAAAATGTTTGAGGCTTAAATGAATGATCAGAACTGAACACAGGTCTTTTGTCTTCCAGGTAGGGCAATGTGTGGTGGTCTTCAGCCAGGCTCCTAGTGGGAGAGCCCCACTGAGCCCCAGTTTGAACTCCCGCCCATCGCCGATCAGTGCCACTCCTCCAGCACTGGTTCCTGAAACCCGAGAGTACCGCTCACAGTCTCCAGTAAGGAGTATGGATGAAGCCCCTTGTGTTAACGGCCGCTGGGGAACACTGAGGCCCAGAGCTCAAAGGCAGACCCCCTCTAGTTCCCGGGAAGGGAGCCTTTCCCCAGCCAGAGGGGATGGCTCTCCCATCCTCAACGGTGGGAATTTGTCTCCAGGAACAGCAGCCATAGGTGGCTCTTCCTTGGATAGCCCTGTGCAGGCCCTATCTCCTAGCACTCCGTCTACCACTGAAGGATATGACCTCAAAATGGGACTTTCTTTGGCCCCCCGACGAGGGTCACTACCGGATCAGAAAGATCTGAGGTTAGGATCAATAGATCTGAATTGGGATCTGAAACCTGCTTCAAGTAGCAATCCTATGGATGGTGTGGACAACAGGACAGTTGGGGGAAGCATGAGACACCCTCCTGAACAGACGAATGGTGTACACACCCCACCACACGTGGCCAGTGCCCTTGCAGGAGCTGTCTCCCCAGGTGCCCTGCGTCGGAGCCTAGAAGCCATCAAAGCAATGTCATCCAAAGGCCCCTCAGCCTCTGCAGTGCTAAGTCCTCCTCTGGGGTCTTCTCCAGGCTCTCCTGGGAACCAGAACCTCAGCAGTGGAGAAACAGTTCCCGTTCCCCGCCCAGGGCCTGCCCAAGGAGATGGACATTCCTTACCTCCCATTGCCCGCCGTCTGGGCCACCACCCTCCACAATCCCTAAATGTTGGCAAACCTTTGTACCAGAGTATGAACTGCAAGCCCATGCAGATGTACGTGCTAGACATTAAAGACACCAAGGAGAAGGGGCGGGTCAAATGGAAAGTATTTAATAGCAGTTCTGTGGTCGGACCTCCTGAAACCAGCCTGCATACAGTGGTCCAAGGCAGGGGTGAACTCATCATATTTGGAGGACTCATGGACAAGAAACAGAATGTGAAGTACTATCCAAAAACAAACGCCTTGTACTTTGTGCGAGCAAAGAGATAATGTGTTCTAAACCCCCTTCCCTTTCTGTGGCTTTTAATTTTCCAGTGTGCAAGCATTTGGACTGCGAATTGGGAAAACAAAGGACAGAATTACTCCCATAAACCAAAACCCCAATTCCCAACCTCACTCACTCCAGGCTGGGATCAAAACTCCATTAAGAAAAGAATTATATATAAATATATAAATATATATTATATAGCCAACTCTGTTTACAAAGAGGGAGAGATCTCCGTCCTGGTTCAGATAAATTTGTTGCTGTGTTTTAGCAGAGGCTGTGCTGCCTTTTTCTACTTTGCTGGTAACTAGACCAAGAATTTAGGGAACAGACTAATGTCAGAACTTAACTAGAACTGAAGAGCCCCCGTAAATTTTTATGTGGCCTTCTTGGAGTTACAGAAAGAAAGAGCGTGTGTAAGGTGCACATGTGGAGCCTCCCGATCCACGAGCTCCAGGAGCTGGCAGGGTGAAAGGAGCCTGTAGAGAACTCTTCTCCATTCCTTTTAAAACCACACAGAACTTGTGCAAATGTCTCTTTGCAGTCATGCCCTCTGCCTGGCCCTGTTCTGTCCTTGTAACCAAGGAAAGTTACCCAGCCAGGAATTCCATTGCACGTGTGTGTCCCAGGATCACCATGGGGAGTGTTAATGGAGAGACGCCTGTCCGCCTAGTGTCCACTGGTCTTAAGCATGCTCCTTCTCTGTCTCAGAAAACATATTGGTGTCTGCTTTCGGAATTTTCTGACAATCGTATTTGATTGCAAGTTGCCAAAAACCACATTTGTTCCCTTAAGACTTGATCCTCAGAAGCTGCCTTTCCCTTTTTTTTTTTTTTTTGCATATTATGTGGGTGTTTTTTTTTTTTTTTTTTTTTTTTAAAGCAAGCCCTGAAAGCGTTCCCACTTTCTGTTTCTTTTACAAAGCTAAGGTGCCCAGGGAAATCTCCTAGAGATATTTCTGGAACCTGTTCTCTGGTATCACGGAGGGACCTGGTAGGGAATTCCAAGATGCCAGTAGCATGAGAAATCCTTGAAGCATCAAGAATACTGTTTTTCCCCTTTGGGCTTCTTTTTACTTCCAAAGCGCGTTAGGCACACCCATCCATATTTATACAATGTGGAAAATGATCCTGGAAGAGAATCCCAGTAGTAGTTCCTTCTAGAAGTAATTTCGCCTCTTGCTGTGACATGCATTTTTCTGCGTGGCTGTTGACTAGTGGTTGGTTTGAGTGTCTGGTGCTTCGCCTCTTTGAGGCAAGACACACCTTGTGAGCAGCCCCTCCTTTGTGACTGTCTCCTTCACATGTGACCCAAATAAGAGTTGGGTTTTTATGTCACACGGTTCCTGAGGTAATGTGCAACCAACTAGAGCATTCCTTTGGTTGGTACAGGAAGTTACAAATTACCAGTCTCTAAACCATGGCCTGGGCCTAGGAGATGTTCGAGTAAGTCAGATGGCACCACTTTAATTTTCGGTGATTTCTCATCAGTGGAAAGATTTTTACTTTGCCTTTAGGATTTGAATTTCAGAACACTGCATTTCCCATCTTTCACACTCCCCTTTTTTCCTGTTAGCATTTCCCAAGCACAAGCCTGCTACAGCTGGCCCTGGGTCCTGGCTTTAGGCCAGCCCTTAGCAATCTGTCTGATAAGTGTGTTTTCTCCTATGACATCATGTTGAATTCTTTCCCGTAGCCATTAGCTTTTACAGTGTGGTCTTGGTGGGAAAGCCCCCCTGGTGCCAAGCCCAGGAAAAGGCTAGCTCGCAGGGAGAGGTCTGTGTTCCAGAGACTGTTCCCTTAGATGATGAAACTGCCATGTGCCTATTTACTGTGGTATCCACCTACTCCTAGCTCAGCACTTCGCTTGCTGGACACCTTGCTCCTGGGCTATTGCCGGTCCTCCTTCAGCAAAGACTGTTAGATCACGTGGGGTCCTTATTCGCAAGAGAAAGCCTAGCTTGTAAGATTAGGTATTACTTTATTGCTATTGCCGAACTGCGTTTATGACATTGCATCTGTGCATGGACAGTGTCCCCAAACTCAGTTCCTGTTTAAATATAAAGTATTTGGAAGCCTGAGAGTTCAGAATCTCAGCTTTGTGACCATTCCCTTAGTCCTGTGGCCTTCCTCAGCCAGCTCTTGGCTCGTGGATTCCCTCTGTCTTCCCCAAACAGGCAGGCAGCGGAGGTGAGGACTCCCTTGGAAGGTCGCCGGCTCCTTGGAGCTCTGTGGCACCCAGTGTTACCAGACTGCTCAGAAGCGCGCCGTGTGTTGTCAGCTCCTTAGGAACATCTTCTTCATCTGCACCTGGTGGTGGTGGCCTTGGTGGCTCTTGGGCACTGTGGCCAGATAACTTAGGAGAGCATCTCCACACAGTCAGGGTGGTCGTGTCCTCAGGGCCCTGTGAAGCCGCGTGTGCGGGGGAACTTCAGGCGTCCCCCCTGTGGAGAGCATTCCCCAACACCCTGGCTGCTTCCATGAGGGCATGTTTAACCACGACTCTGGTTTGGACAGGATGCCAATTTTGTCTTAACGATTCACCGAGAAAAATGAGACAGCAAGTTTCCTTGGCCTTCACAAGCACCTAAATTAGCAAATATTTGTCAGTATTGAAGTATTTAAAATACGTGGTGTTTCTTACTTGAAGCTTTAACCCCTTCCACTCCTGCAAGTGTGCCTTTGAGAGCCCCACGTCACATGGACTTCCCTGGCCCCCTCGTGGACCTACTGTGAGAGTCTCGGTGTCTTCCTTTCCTCTTGGACAGGGCTTGCGTTTTCTCACCTTGCAGGCTGGGCAGTAGAGAGGCTTCTGTATTTCTGTTCACATTTCATGGGTGGTGGGCTGCGCAACCACCCATTTACACACACACCTCGCACACACTTCTGTATTTGAGGAGCACAAACTAGGTGTCGAAACAAGCTTACATTTAGTTGTAAGGTAATACTGGCCTTCCTCTCCTCCCAGCCCTCCGCAGATTGATCTAATTTTAATCTTTGAGTTTTATATCAAGAGCTAAATCCACGAACTATCCCAGGAACTGTGTTGGAACTCTCTCAAATAAAGAAGAGGACAACAAAAGAAAACCAACTTGAGAAGTCTTGACGTTGGAGAACAGAAAGCCACCAGCTGATGGAGAACAGAGGGATACTTCCTTTCCTCTAACTTTCTCTCTCTGGGTTTCCCTCTGCTTTGCTTCTTTGCTTCCCCATAAAAGTGATGTTCCTGTGGGTTTGTCTGTCTGTCCTTGTCCTTGTGGTGATCCTGGCATGGTGATGTGCTCTGCTTTGCATTGTCTCTGCTCTCTTACCAGCGCACAAGTCAGTGGGGAGGATCTGAACACACCCAGGGGCAAGGAAGCTGAACTTTGAGGCCTGCGTCCCGTGCAGCCTCCCCATGAACTGCAGAAGGCACGTTCTGCATGGTCACCAGTAAGTGGCTCCCTCTCACTGTGTTCACTGTCCTAGGAGAGCAACCCTTAGGCCTTGGCTCTACCCTTGCTCTCACTCCTCGCTCTGCTCCCTTCCCACCAACCAGGGTTCATGTCAGCGCACACCCATCCGTCGTGCCCTGGCGAAGCTGGTGCTGTGAGTGATGTTTCCCATACAACTCAGGGGTCCCAGATGGCTTACCCTGAGATGGTCATTTTAGGCACATAACGGTGTAGGAATGAAAAGTGGACTTCATTGGTATTTAAATCTGTCAATTTCATTTTTTGTTAAGGTTTTCCCTGATGACTTTTTAGCTATTTAACAAATAAAACAAAATGGACAGAATTGTCTTAACTGTTTTATTAAGAGAAAAGAAGAAAGAAACGGAACTGTCATGGAGAGCAGTTGAGATTGGAGATTGAAATTGGAAGCAAGGTAGTTGGAAACCTGCCCTTAACCGCTCTAGGAAGGTTGTGTTTGGGGGTAGAGGTGAGGAGCTGCCCTTCCCTGGGGACAGCTCCCATTGAATAACGAGGCAACTCTCGGTCATGCTCGAAGGACTTGGCGTTTCAGAGTCTCAGGCACCACCCTATGGTGGAGACTCAAGAGAGGGCATGAGCTTGGAGCAGGACCCCAGGGACCAGGACAGCAACAACCACATCATCGCTGGCCTCTTAAGCAAAGAGGAGGACACAGGGCCCCTGGATCTTGAAATAGCACAGCAAATGGTGGTTAGAAATACAAGCCTGAAGCCCCAGAGGCCTGTGTTCTAATCCTGCCTTCCCCTGCTTTCTGCTTAACCTTGGATGCGAGTTTCCTCATCTGTAAATACAGTTCTTTCTGTCTTAAGGGATCATGAGGATTAGCTGAGGTTGTGTATGAAAGCATTAGGCGCAGCGTCTGGCACATGGTGAGTGCTCTGTAGATGGTGGCTACTGTTTGTAATGAACCTTGGAAGAAAATAGAGGCTTGGGAAGGAAAGGGCTGGGCTCGCTGTGTAAATTGCGACAAGCATGCCCCTGCTGAGGATTAAGCGTGTCTCTGGTTGTCTGGGTCATCTTTTAGATGTCCGCGTGAGAACCTCTGAGGCTTTTGCCTCTCGAGAGCAGTAAGCAGCAGCTGCTACCATAAATCAGGTCGGAATTGTCTCATTGCTTAATCTCCCTTTTGGACTTGAATTCCTTGGTTTGCTCGTTGAATTCTGCCTCTGGCACATAAGGTATCCTTCTGCCTGGATTCAAGGGCACACTTAGTTGGCTCCCATTCTGGAAGTGACAGTTGGGGACTGATGACATGAGTCTGCCCAGCTGCGTGGGGGCCTGGGAGGAGACAGGCACCGTGAGGGTAGGGGGCTGAAACCACTTGCTGACTACATGCCAGTTTCTTACACCCATGGGTCTTTGTGCCAAGCACCATTATGTTCTTTTCGTTCGGTGTCCTGACCCTGTCCCAGGCTCAGGTGCCGTGAGCCCGCAGCTCTCATGCTAGCTGCACATTTGTGTCTCCCAAGATGTGGCATGAAACTTCCCTTTCTAACAACATGTGGTCCGATGCTGTCTATTCCACGTCCTGCACTTTGAGACACCGTAAACTAGAGCATGGCCCAAGGAAGGGTCCTGGGTCTGAAGGGTCCAGCGCCATGTGCTGGCCGCTGCTAAACTGGCAAGAGGCAGAACGACTGTTCTGTATTCTTTCTCAGTCGCCCCTGTGGAAGGGCTGGGCTCATTGTGGGTCTGTTGAGCGGAACAAGGTCCAGTGGGTAGAAGCTCTAGAGAAGAGATTTCCACATCGTTGGGAAGAACTCCGTTATGGTCAGAGCTGTATGTATCAGAACCAGTTTGGCA